GCACTGCATTTAACCTTTGGGGCATAGACGCTACTAAATTTTGAAAAATTTCGGGCCTTGCGCGGAGACCCTCCCACTGATTCACTACGTGTTGCGCAAGTGCCTCGCGTGTCCGCTGAACTTGAGGGTCCCACTTTTGTACTAAAATGCCTCAAAGGTTTTCAATCACATTCATATCCGGGGACTTGGCTGGCCAGTTCAACGTCCTAAGATTGGGTTGTGCGGCAAGCCAAGTCTGGACAACTCTCGCTCGATGCACTCCTGAGTTGTCTTGAATGAAATTCACATATGGTATGCCAGGAAACGTCTCTGCAATGTACGATAGCATCACATTGGATAATATTTGGATGTATTCCTCGCTGTCCATATGTGGCGTGGTACGCACCAATGGTCCAGGACCACGCGAGGACATACATCCCCAAAATCCTAATGTGATGCGCCCAGACTGTTGACGGAAACGAACATTTTCCTCGGCATACTTTGTTCCTCTCATTCTCCACAACGTCACTCTTCCATTCTCATCCGTACTAAAAACCTTTTCATCCGAAAAGATTGTTACCGCCCAATCATCAGTCCATCCCAAATGTTGTAAAGCGAAAGCCATCCGCTGTTCTTTGTGATGTGCAGTTAATAATTCCTTTTCTGCGGGAATATGGTGAAAATATCCATTTTCCCTCAGTCTGCGTCGTATCGTAAATTTCGAACATTGTAGTCCAGTATCAGCTTTTATCTGTAAGATATTAGAATATTGATAATTAAGACAAACGAAAAGCAGGGTTGGAAAGTAACTTGTTACTTGTAACTAAGTTACAGTTAAAGTTACTTTTTTTGGTAACTTTAACTTAACTTCGTTACTTTCTTTCTATTTGTAACTGTAACTTAACTTAGTTACATTTATTCGATAACTAGTAACTAATTTAATTAGTTACATTAATAGTTACTTTATATATTTTTAAACCTCTACAAATTGCATCAGGTCTTGCATTTGCACATAAACGCTATTATCGACACTTTATAATTTATTATTTATTATTTATTACTCTTTTATTTTCATTGCAAGAAAATAACTGCAAAGTAAAGATTCGTTACTTTCTGAGTGACTGTATCTGTAACGCGTTACTTTTCAGAATTGGTAACTTGTAACTGTATAACAAAAATACAGATTGTAAGGGAAAAGTGTTAGAAGTATTAAAAACACTTCGAACAATAATAAGTGTAAATTGAAACAGCGTTAACATTGCAAGTTTTAAAGATTTATAAAGATTTATAAAGACTTATGAAGACTGCGAATAAATCACGTGACTGCAGTAATGTAGTCACTCAATTTTTTTTCATTCGCCGTCTTACTAAAAGTCGTCTCTAATTATTTACGCGCCCAACGAAACTGATAATTTTTTCATACTTTTACTGATGATTGGAAGCCAGTTTGTCTAATCGCATTTACAATTATTTCGTCTTCCTCTCTTGTTGTGCATCTTTGTACGCCAAGATATGGCCCTGGGTTTACGTGGCCTTCCAATTCCTTTTTTTCTAAGATTCGATATACAGTCGATCGCTATAATAAAATATATATTGTTCAAGCAAAAATTTTATGATTATACAAATTTTATTTTATTTTTAAATTGTATTTGTTTTTTAATTGTATTATTTAAATGTATGTATATATTTTTAATTGTATTTAATTGTATAATTATATATTTTAATTGTATTTAATTGTATAATTATATATTTTAATTGGGGCTTCCGTTTCCGGTGACGAAAACGTGTGGTTGTATGAGAGTGTGAATGTGAGAATAAAGGTGAAATAGAGAGGCATTGGAATAGAGCTAGAGAAGAGAAGAGTGGGGAGAAGTGGGAAAGGGTTGAAAGAGGCAGGGCAAGTGGAGGCGAGGAGTGCGAGCGAGAAGGAGAGATACGGTGGAGAGATAAGCGGGAAGAGAAAGGTAGGTTAAGAGGCGAGAGTGACAGGCGGCATAGAGTAGGCAGTGAGATAGAGTGGAGAGTGGGAGGGAAGAGTAGAGGGAGGCAGGGAATAGAGAAGGTAGATAGAGGGGCAAGCACATAGGAAAGATAGGCAAGCGTAGGTAGAGAAGACAAGAGAGTAGGATAGAAAGGAGTATAGAATGGAAGAAGAGAAGAAAGAGGGGGAGGGAGTAAAGGAGGGAGGGAAAGGAAAGGTAGGGCGACCAAAGAATATAGAGCTACTAAGCAGGAAGAGGGCTGTTGAGAATTGCTTATTTCTGGATTGCGTTGTGGCCGGGTTTTGGGTGCGAATAAGGAGAATGGCAATTCTTGTATGCGAGTTTATTAATGTTATACGACCGTGCTATCAGACGGTCACAGTCACGGACAGACGTTCCGTTACGCACACTGCCGGCTCGCTCCCGGCTTCCTACCTCGACACTTACATACGGATTTTCGGACAGCGGACTACGGACTCCTACGACTGACTGACTGCCGGCTCGTCGCCGGCCCGTTACTTATTACCAAAACACAACAGACATGATAGATGCTCGCTCGACTCAGGCGCTCGTCGCGGACATAACCATTCGCCATCTAGGGGTTACGCGATGACATGTCAAGGCGGTACAATTAAGATTAAAATAACGCTATGGCGCTAACATCCCGCCCACCAAGATTAGACAACTAATCTTTGTTATGAGACTAATCGTTCACAGGTAATTTGCAAAGTTTTGAGACTGCACGTTTAGTAGTGCCGGAAGACGTTCGCACCGTCACGATACGCACCAATCCGTCCTTCCCGGTGTGAGTCTCTATAACACGCCCCATTCTCCACTTCAAAGGCTGAATATTGTCATCCCTAAGTAGCACGAGATCATTGACTTTTAAATTATTCTGCTCCGTTTTCCATTTGACGCGGCTCTGCAGATTGGCCACGTACTCAGCCGCCCACCGTTTCCAAAAGTCCTGAAGGGAACGCTGTATCAGCTCCCATCTGTCAAGGCGATTGTACCTTACGTCCGACAGGCTGATCTCAGGAAGGCTGGTCAACGGTCCCCCTATTAAAAAATGTCCTGGAGTTAAGGGCTGCAAGTCTGATGGATCCGGAGACAAGGGTGACAATGGTCTAGAATTTAGGCACGCCTCGATCTGTACTAGAAGCGTGGTCAACTCTTCGAAGGTCAACAAGGTATTGCCCATCACGCGCTTCAGGTGGTATTTGCAGGACTTCACCCCGGCTTCCCATAGGCCTCCCAGGTGAGGTGAGTGGGGGGGAATGAAGGTCCACTCGATACCATCGTCGAGCAAAGCGTCACCAACTGCTCCATTTATGGAATTCCGGACGAAGGAGTAGAGCTCCTCCAATTCTCGTTTGGCGCCTGTGAAATTCGTAGCATTGTCACTACAAATTTTACAAGGTATCCCTCGTCGCCCTATGAATCTCCGCAGAGTCGCCAAGAACGCCGCTGTGGTCAGTTCACTCGTTGCTTCCAAATGAATAGCCCTTGTCGCAAAGCATATGAATAATGCTATGTAAGATTTGCAGGTTTTCCGAGCACGTCCCTTATTGACCAGTGTAATAATCAGGCCCGCAAAGTCCACGCCAGTAATCGAAAAGGCTCTGGAAGGCTTGACTCTGTCCCCAGGAAGTGACCCCATGGCTTGGGTCAGACCTCTCGGATTATTTCTAGCACACCAGACACACGAATGGCAGATTCGTCGTACTAAATTTCTAGCATTCAATGGCCAATATTGCTGTCGAATTGATGACAATAGTAGTTGAGGACTGGCATGCAATAGCGCGCGATGTCCTCTTTCAATCATTAGATGTGTAATCTTGCATTTCGCTGGCAACAAAATTGGATGCTTCCTATCAAAACTCCATGGAGTTTCCTGAAGTCGGCCGCCCACCCTGAGGACACCATTTTTGTCCAGAAAGGCATGCAACTGATGCAGACGACTCGCTCTGCTCAGTCCTTTATTGCCTTGTAGATTCCTCAGATCTTCCTTGAAGTGCACATGTTGTGAATATTTGATTATTTCACACCGTGCTTCTTCCAACTCTGGCAATGTTAACCTGGATAGAATTCTGTCTTCCTTTTTCTTGCGGCAGTTGGAGATGAATCTAAGGCAATAAGCCAAAGATCTCTCGATTTTTGTTAGCGTTGAACAATCCTCGACTAGCTTGTGGATTATCTCGCTCGGTGATGACGGCTGTTGTACGCTCAAATGGCAGACTTGTCTCTCCCTTCTCATCTCCTCTTTAGCGCTGGAGATATCATCCTCGATGAACTCCCATTCAGATTTCTCTGGATCTGGTGAATGGGAAGGAACGGCCAGCCATTCTGGACCATTCCACCATAGATGGCTATCCCTGAGTTGAGCAGGTGTGGCTCCTCTTGAAATCAAGTCAGCTGGATTTTCCAGACCCTTGACATGGTTCCAGTGAATTGCAGGTAAAATCTCGATGATATCCGATACGCGATTCGACACAAAGGACTTCCATCTCGATACATCCCCATGAAGCCAATAAAGTACAACCATGGAATCGGACCATGCAGAAATTCCGTCGACTCTTATTCGCATCGCTCGTTTGACCTTATCAATTAATTTCGATAACAATAACGCACTACACAATTCCAATCTAGGAATAGACGTTTTCTTTAAAGGAGCTACTCTCGCCTTAGAACATAACAATTCGACTGTTGTCCTGCCATCATTTCTATTCACAGATTGCAAGTAGATGCATGCACCGTACGCCTTTTCAGACGCATCACAAAAGCCTTGCACGAAAAACCGATTATCTTTCAAAGAACTAGCAATTACTCGAGGTACTCGCAGTGCATTAGCTTCCTTTAAATTTTCTTGGAACCTCTTCCATCTGTCCAAGACTGCATCAGGAAGAGGGTCATCCCAATCTACTTTAATTTGCCAGAGCTCCTGCATTAAAACCTTGGCTTTCGTTAGAACTGGACCTATCAATCCCAGAGGATCGAACAGCTTGCTGATCGCCGACAACATCCTACGCTTTGTGGATACGCCACCCACCATTTGTACTTTAAAGAGGAACTCGTCTGAAGCAGGATTCCATTCGAGACCCAAGGCGCTAGTGGTGTCATTCGTGTCAATATTTAAATTTGAACCCGACCCGCGCAAATTCATTGGTATTTCTGTTAATACGCTTTCCGAATTAGAACACCATTTATGCGCCTCGAATCCCCCCTCACGCAACAAACTCGACAATTGCTCCTGCAGAGCACGAGCCGCATCGACTGTGTCCGCTCCAGAAATTATATCATCGACGTAAGTATCATTGAGTATTGCGGACGATGCCAGTGGATACTTCTCTAATTGTTCCATTGCTAATTGTCTAAGGCATCGCACGGCTAGGTACGTCGCACAACCTTGGCCGTAAATAACGGTATTTAAACGATACTCCCCTACTGGTTCGTCTAAGGAAAATCGCCATAGAATGCGTTGGAAATCTCTATCATCAGGATGAACTAACACCTGACGAAACATCTTTTGTAAATCTGCTGTCAATGCAATCTTGCAACAACGAAACCGTATTATTATATCAAACAAATCTTCTTGTAATACCTCCAATATGGAGAGCGTCGTTCAATGACACGCCTACGTTATTTTTCGCCGATGCATCAAATACAACGCGCAGTTTTGTACTAGTACTAGATTCCTTAAATACCCCATGATGAGGCAAGTAAACTATATTCTCGGGATCGCTAACGGGATCGCTTACAATTGACATATGGCCTAACTTGACATATTCAAACATGAACGGAGTATAGCGATCGCGATATGTCAAGTTGCCCTTAAATGCACGCTCCACATGATTGAGTCTCCTAAGCGCTATTTTCCTGTTACTACCGATGGGTAAATCTTTGTCTCGAAACGGCAGTCTTACGATAAATCTACCGTCGCTTGCTCGCGTAGTAGTTTGTTCAAAATGTTGTTCGCATTTCTTTTCATCCATCGATAGTACTCGGGCATCGGGAACGTCGTAATTTTCCAACTTCCAAAACTTTTCTAGGCTCTCGCTTAAAGCTTCGCTAGACTTCAACGAACAAGTTAGCGAGCTCACCGTGCCTCGATTGCAAGTCAGATTTCCTAGTGCAATTGATGGCATTACTCCTGCTACTATCCATCCGAGTTTGGTGTTCTGCAAGATCAATTGCCCCTTTTCAAGTTCTATTTTTCCCGGTTCCATTAAATCGAAAAAGAACTCAGCGCCAATTAGCATATCTATTGGGCCTGTCTTGCAAAACCCCAAGTCGGCCAGAGTGAGATTGCTGGGCAAGTGTATCCCGCCAGAATCCATCTCTGAGGATGGCAAGTTTTTAGTGATTCTGGGTACAATCAAACATTGAGCGTTAATTCTGAAGTTGGAACATCTCGATTTGACTTGAACCTCGCAAACGCTACTCACCCTGTTCTCTATTTCGTTTAAACCGGTAACGATCTCGGATACTCGACTTCGCTTTAGACCTAACCTGTTATGAGCTGCCTGAGTAATAAAATTAGCTTCGCTCGCGCTGTCAAGAAGCACGCGTATCTCCACATACGATCCATTGCGTTGCGCTGCCTCCACTATCGCTGTGGCCATAAGTATTCGACGCCCGTTTGTGTGGTTTGAGGCGTGAACTACCACCTTGTTGATCGTCTCGTTACTTGTCCTGCTACCATGCTCCGGGACCTCTGGGTTCGCAGCGACCCTGTTGTCCTGCGATAGGTGGCAGAGAGTATTGTGCCTCTCCCCACATTCCTTGCATCTACCCATTCTGCAGGTCCTTGCGAAGTGGTCGTTTTTTAAGCAGTTCAGGCACAACTTTAATCGTCTGACCTCCTTGATTCGGTCAGGGACTGGCAAATCTAGAAATTTCTCGCAAGAATATATGAAATGTGCCCCATTGCAAAGATAACATTTACCTGAGTTTAGAGAGGTGGTCAAAGAAGCCGTTCTTTGTTTTGCAACACCCCTAGCTGAGGATTGTGATTTCAAACCAGTATTGGCAGATCCCTTGGAGGATTTCTCCATCTTATCGACTGACCTCGACTCAATACGCTCCAAGGTTTGACATCTCCTCCTCAAAAACTGCAACATATCGTCCAAACTTGCCTCTTCTTTTCTTTCCAACTCCTCCTCCCAAGCTCGAAGAGTTCTCACATCGAATCTCGCTTCCATCATATGCATGACGAGCTCATCCCACGCCTCAGTAGGCGAACCTAGAACCTTCAATATCCTTAAATGGCTTGAAGTATAATCGATTAGATCACGAAGAGCCTTTGCGGACTCCTTCGCCACCGTTGGCATTGTAAATAGACTCTCAATGTGTTTTTTCTTAAGGGACCTAGGATCGTTGTATCGCTGCTGCAATAAATCCCATGCGGTCATGTAATTATCCTGTGATAACTCAATCGATTCTATGATTTTCGCGGCATCACCCGAAATCGATGTAACTAGATATTGAAGCTTGTCCATATTGGACAGATGTGGCTTGTCGTGAATCATTGAGCGAAAACTATCCGAAAAATATTTCCACTCCTCGATTTTTCCATCAAAACGCGGAAGTTTAATGGTAGGTAACTTGACTCTATTGTCCGTGTTGTTAGATCCGGCCGACATTGCCACGCGATCTAGAATCTCTGTTTGTCGGGAAAGAATGGCCGTTAACGTTTCGTTTCCGGTGTAATGGCGTCCGAAACCTCGTTCTGGGAACCGCGTCCCATCTGTTGTATGAGCTCGGATTGCTGCTGCAGCAATTGCATGATCGCGCCCGAACCTTCCGGTGTAGCATCCCGCGTGGATGATTCTTGCATGTATCGCTTTAGGAGGATTTTAATTTCGCAATACTTATCTTCGAAAAGCTCGTCCTCCTTCATGTCGTCGTCCGTGAACTCGCTTGTCCTGTCTAACAACTGCCTTTGCACGTCCTCGAACTCTCGATGTACCTCTTCTAGCATCTCTAACCTCGTTTCTGCTTGCACCTTGTCGAGGTTGACGCTCGTCGGATGCGTCCTCTATTTGCCTCTTGATCCTTGTCAGCCTCGCTTTTATGTAGCCTCGTGCCTTGCGTAAATTAACGGTTTCCGCCATTGTCGCTCGTGCGTCGTTTCTCGTTCGTTGAAGAATCCGCGTGGGATCCGGCTCGAAGGACCAAATTTTGTTGAGAATTGCTTATTTCTGGATTGCGTTGTGGCCGGGTTTTGGGTGCGAATAAGGAGAATGGCAATTCTTGTATGCGAGTTTATTAATGTTATACGACCGTGCTATCAGACGGTCACAGTCACGGACAGACGTTCCGTTACGCACACTGCCGGCTCGCTCCCGGCTTCCTACCTCGACACTTACATACGGATTTTCGGACAGCGGACTACGGACTCCTACGACTGACTGACTGCCGGCTCGTCGCCGGCCCGTTCAGTGTTGCCAGATAGGGGGTTTTTCCCCCAGATTTAGGGGTTTTTTGGCCTTTTAGGGGAAGATTTAGGGGGAAGAATTTTTTAGGGGTTGGGGGAATTTAACAAATATATGTATGGCAGAGAGAAGCCTGAGAGATGTCACGGCCCCGTTTTTCGTGATTCGCGAATGCGATACGCCCTCTGTGGACATTGAAAACGTGGACATTGAACTACGTAGCCAATGTTCACATTTTGCTAACAATAAGTGGGTAACGCAGATTTGCACAATTTTAGCCCCGTCCCGCGCTATGGTTAGATCCCATGCAATGATCTTGTACTTAAAATAATCTTAAGTACAAGAGCATCGCACAGGACCTGACTATAGCACGAAACGCAATCAAAATTTCGCAAATCTGCGTTACCCACTTGACAAAATGTGGACATTGGCTACGTAGTTCAATGTCCACGTTTTCAATGTCCACAGAGGGCGTATCGCATTCGTGAATCACGAAAAACGGGGCCGTGACATCTCTCAGACTTCTCTCTGATATAGGTTTGTTTTCGTTGCTTAGGCTGGATTCACATGGAGCGAAACTTGCGTAGCGTAACCTGCGTATTACCAATCACAGGGTCATTCTGATAGAACCGTTTCAATGATTCCGTTGAAATAGTTCTGTGATTGGTGATACGCAGGTTACGCTTACGCAAGTTACGCTCCATGTGAATCCAGCCTGAGAGCTACAGGCGGTAAATTAAAAAACAGTTGACAATACGTGATAACTGTCATTTTGATATATATCGTGTAAAGCCATAACATGTCGAAGAATCCAAAAAATAAGAAAAGTTATATTCAAAAATATCGGAAGGAATGGGAACGAGACAAGCAATTTGCAGGTACATTAATTTATCGTTGTTACTCATGTATGCAATGTACACATGGAGACAGAAATGCCTTCTCACACGAAGTTGTACCCTTTCTCGGTACGCATACGAATATGTAGAGACAGAACATATATATTCTGTCTCTATATATTCGTATGCGTACTGAGAATGGATGCAACTTCGTGTGAGAAAGTTCAAAAAGTATTTCTGTTCCCGTATGTATGTACATGATGCTAATCGTTAAATAGTCGCAATGATGCCTATAAAATCGTCTCTTTCTTGTTGCCACTGTTTCTATCGGCAATTTTTTGTGATTCTAGTTTTGTCGGCATTAACAAAATGGTCCTTCTCGCAATCGTACTGTATTTGTTTTAATTAATGATTTCTATATTTAGCTATTTTAATATATTTATCATATATAGATTGGTTATGTGCTTCACCAGCGGATTCGACAAAGGCAATTTGCAAATACTGCAAAAATGAGATCAAAGCCCATAAAAAAGATCTTCAAATCCACGCGGAGTCAAAAAAGCATAAAAATTTGATAAAGGAGCATATCGAAATTGCTGCAACTCCAAAAATCACACTCTTTGCAAAACAATCAATCAGCGAGAGAAGAAAAATGTTAGAGCTGAAGCTTGCAACTTTTGTGGCCGAACACTGCTCAATTAATGCTATTGACCACTTAGGATTTTTAATTAAGAATTCCGATACTAACTCTGAAATTCTACAGAA